TTACAGTGAGAAGGGCTAGGAACAAGACATCACAATGATATTGAGTACACCTAGCACCCAGGTCTTGTTTTCTTTTTTTGATGTTTGTCTGTTTTTTTAAGGAAGATTAGCCCTGAGCAAACTGCTGCCAATCCTCCTCTTTTCGCTGAAGAAGACTGACCCTGAGCTAACATCCATGCCCATCTTCCTCTACTTTATGTGTGGGACGCCTGCCACAGCATGGCTTGCCAAGCGGTGCCATGTCTGCACCCGGGATCCAAACTGGCGAACCCCGGGCTGCCAAAGCAGAACGTGTGCACTTAACCGCCGTGTCACCGGGCTGGCCCCCAGGTCTTGTTTTCTAAATTCCATTTTCCACTAAAAGGAACCAGAGTTCCTTGGAAAAAATGGTTAATTCCAGGCTTATTCAGAGAAAGTATAAGCTGAGCCTGGAATATCTTCTTGGACCACAAAGTAAAGAAGTGCTCAAATAATGAAAGGCCATGTCAAAAAACACAGAAAGTGTATTAGTTTTCTATTGCTATGTGAGAAATTACCACAAACTTAGAAGCTTAAAACAATACATATTTATTATCTCATAGTTTCTATGGGATATTGTCCAGGGACTATTTATCTGTGTTCTCTGCTCAAGGTCTTACAAGGCTGCAATCGAGGTGTCATCTGGCCTATGTTCTCATCTGGAAGTTTGACTGGGGAAAGATCCACTCCCAAGTTTCCACGGGTTGTTGGTAGAATTCATTTCTTTGCAGCTGCTGGACTGAAGCTTCAGTTTCTAGCTTGTCACCAACATTAGCTCCTAGAGGCGTCCTGTTGTTCCTTGATATGTGAACCACTTACATCAAGATAACTTACTTCTTCAAGACAGATGGAGCATGAGAATCATCTACTGGGAGGCCAACATAAACTTGCCACCAAAACCTGATGGCGACATTACAAGAAAGAAAATTTACAGACCAATCTCACTCATGTCTTAGAGATAAAAATCCTAAACGAAGTGCTAGGTATACAGAATCCAAGAGTCTATGAAAAGGATAATACATCATGACCAAATTATATTTATAGAATTATAAGATTTATTTAACATTCACCATATTACTGATGTCATTCACCATATTAATAGAATAAAAGGCTAAAAACCCCCCACATGATTATCTCTGTAATGTGTAGAAAATCTCTTGATAATATCTAACATCCATTCAGGATAAATACTCCTAGAAATTGAAAGAAACTGTCCTAATTTGGTAAAAGGCTATCTGCAAAGGAACCTGTTGCAAACATCACAATTAATGGTGAAATGTTGAAATTGTTTTCTGTGAGATTGCAAAGAAGGCAAGTATACTCTCCACTACTACTGAACATAAGGTATTCCTAACCAGTTCAACAAAGCAGGAAAACCAAATAAAAAATATACAATTGAAAAGGAAGAAACAAAACTCATTATTCTTAAGACAATATGATTGTTTATATAGAAGGTAAAAAAAAATTATAGATAAATTATTACAAATAATAAGTGAGCTTAGCAAGGTCATTGGATACAAAGTAAATTTTTAAAATTAATTGATTTGGGGCCAGCCCTGTGGTCAAGTGGTTAAGTTCACATGCTCTGCTTCAGTGGACCAGAGTTTCACCAGTTCAGATCCTGGGTCCGGACCTAGCACCACTCATCAGGCCATGCTGAGGTGGCATCCCACACAGCACGACTAGAAGGACCTGCAACTAGGATATACAGCTATGTGCTGGGGGGCTTTAGGGAAAAGAAGAAGAGGAAGAAGGGGATGGGGAGGAGAAGGGGAAAGAGGAGGAGGGGAAGAAGAAGAGAAGAAGAGAAGAAGAGAAGATTGGCAACAGATGTTAGCCCAGGTGCCAATCTTTAAAAGAAAACTTAATTGACTTTTATATTCTGGCAACCAACGAAAAATGGAAATTTAAAAATTTCTATGCACAATAGCAAAGACAAAAAATTGATATCACCACTTTAGAAGACTTTTAAACATTATCTGCTAATGTTGAGTATAGGTATACACCATGACCTTGCAATTCCACTCCTAGATATATACAAAACAGAATGCATGCACATGTCTACCATGAAACGTTTATGAATGTTCATTAGCAGCACTCTTCATAGTAGCCAAAAATTAGAAACAATCCAAATGTCCATCATTAGTAGAAAGAATAAAAAAATTTGCTGTATTCACACAGTGGAATATGACATAGCAATGAAAATGAAAAAATGCAGCTACATGAAACAGCATGGATGAATCTTATATCCATAATATTGAGTGAAAAACCCTGTCACAAAATAGTATAGACTCTGTGTTTCCACTTACGTAAAGTTTCAAACCTGGAAAAACTAAACCACAGTGCTAGTATTTAGGATAGTGGTTACCTTAGAGGAGGAAAGAGGGGGTGGTGATTGGGAGAGAGCACAAGATGGGTTTCCGGGAAGATCATGATATTCTATTTCCTGAACAGAATGTTAATTACATGGTTTTTAATTTTGTGATGATTCTTTGAGGTCTACATTTATATTTTCCTCACTATCATATGTAAATTATACTTTAATTAAAAACAAAAACACTAGCAACAGAGGTAGATTCTCCCAAAGTCTAATTCTAAGTAACTTATAAAATTATGCCATAAGGACATAGAACGTACTCTACAGTTTCTAGACATTTTCTTCATTCGTGTCAAGGGATGGACTGAGCCTCAGATAGAACCTAGTTAATGAATATTAATACTGCTTCACCACCACTATCTAACCTTTATATTTTTGGATGTGCTGAATTTCTTCCTAACTAGTACTGCCTAATTCTTCATAAGCAAAGCATAAAAGATAGAGACTTAGAGAAATCTGAAAATGACCCATCCAGACACAGATTTCCTGGAGTAAGGCAAGGAAAATGGAGCAGTGAAACTTGAGTTTTATTATCATATTGATCGCTTCCTTCCTGTTTGACTTTGGGGAATAACACGTCTTGGAGCTAAGAATAATATTTATCTACTTCAGAGTGGAGTAGTATGTGCTAACTCTTGAAAGAATGTAATATTTTTAAGGAAAGATGATAAAGATGCTTACAACCCAAATCTCTGTATATGTTTTGTCCACATTCACTATCAAATGAAAAACTTTCTGAAATTCTCTCTTTCAATTATTGTTTTTCCTTTCTTCAAAGTGAACCCATGGGATGATGCCAAACATACACATGCTACAATGTCCCACATTTCTTTTTTAGGCATTTTATTTTCCCCAAACCTGCTTCCTTTGTTGTAATCAGTCAGATCTCCCAGGTGACACCAATGGTTCAGGTCAATGAACGTTTCAGTTATGTAAGATGAATAAATTGTCGAGATCTGCTGTATAACATTGTGCTTATAGTTAACAATATTGTACTGTGCACTTAAAAATTTGTTAACGGGGTAGATCTCATGTTAAGTGTTCTTGCCAAAAAGAAAAAATTATTTAATATAATAAAACCACATATTGACCATTTACTGTATTCCAGAAATCTTGCTTCAACCTCTATGGGACGGCCTGTGTCCTATTCATAGGCCCAGATATTAGACTTTCTTCCATAGGAATTTCCTGATGACTACAATGCCAAAGCTTATTTCGGGATTTTGCTTCACTTTATGGAGAACTCTAGAGTGAATGTTTTCACTCAAGTTTCAAACAAATTGGAACAATGTTGTATTCTATATGTATGCATTTTGACTTTCATCTCCCACAAAGGGGGTTGGAAGAGCAGGGTCAATAGGAAACATGAGAAACAAAAGTGGAAAGAGCATGACTTTTGTATAGTTTAGTCAGTAAAATGTAATTGAAGCCAAACTAATGAATACATCAAGTTATACAAACGAGGCATCCATCATTGCACCATAGGGTACGTATAATAAGGCACAAAAGAAATAGCTTCCTAATTTACTGGATTAGGGATAATTGGACTGGATGCCTCTTCACATAAGTAATCTCCTTGTATGGCATGAAAGTACTTCTGGAAGTTTCTAGATTCTGTAAGTAATAGAAGTGAAAAGGAAACAGGAAAACAGGATATGCTTGATTCCTTCGGAAAACATTTTAGCATAATTGAGTGTATAGCTTTGCAAGCACTGAATAATGTACATCAGTGATTGGACTATTTTTATAATCTGATTAAGGCTATGAATTTCTACAAATGATTATGAAACATCCTTGCTAATATCCAGATATGACACAGCAAGTACAAGTGGTCAGATTAAAGTTTTGAATATAAAGCCACGTTAGGCTAAATGTCCCCAACAACACAGAGTCAGTAGTAAAACCCCACCACAGCCTGCTACAAGCCTGATGGCAGAAATGGCTTTTCCATTTCATTTCCTGATCTCACAATGCTGAGTTATATAACATGTTTAAAATGAATGACTTTGTCTTCTTGATGAGTTTCCCAGCCTTCACTTTTAAAGAGGAAATGGAAAAGACTGTGGTTCCCGCATAAAAAAGTTTACATGTGTAAGCTTCTCACATGCCTCATTTTTATTTAATCCAAAATAAACTTTGACCCTCTGATATGTAGGTGGCCCCTTGGGGAAAGACTGCTGGACCAAACCAGAACATAACTGTGGCATGTAAGTGAATGCCCTTGGTCAGCCCCTTTCAAAACCACAGTATCCCTACCCCTTCTGCACAGGGCAGGTCAAAAACACTTATCAGAAGAATCAAAACCCTTCCACTTTGTTTGGATCCCTTAATGGGGAAAAACTATGCAAAATAACTTATCCAGACTCTATTCATAAACAATTTGTTACTGCTTTTTAAAAGGCCTGCAGTGTTTTGACATTTCAGTTACACAGTCCAAAATAATTTCAGAGGGCAATGAATTTGAACGCCTTTCCATCTAGCTTTGTCTAACTTTAGCTTCCTTTAGGGTATATGCATGGGCTTATTAAGCTGTGGGTTCCACGGAAGTCCAAGAGTTATGTTCCATGTCAATCACTGATCCTACCATTTAACATCTGTGTTTTAGGCAGTGAGTCACTCGCAGCACATGTCCTGGGAGATCTTGGACCGGACTGAATTTGAACTCCTGGCCCAGCTCCTGACGCTGTCATCAAGTCGCAGTTCCCAGCTCTGCCAGTTTGCAGCCTCTACCTCAGCATCCAAATCTGTAGAAAGGTACCCATTTTCTTCCACAGAGAAAACATCCAAACGTGTCATTGTGCTGAGACATCATTAGAGATGATAGTGTCTTTAAAGGAAATTAGCCGATCAATCAAGCAAAGCTATTGCTAATTTTCTTTTTCTTTCCTCACCTCCACCCTCCTCTTCTTTCCTAAATTCCTCAAAAGCAATACCTTTCCAAAGCAAAAAGGGCCAAGGACAGGGCCTGGTCGAGAAACTCCAGGCTTGACTTTAGCGTTCTCCAGAAGGCTCGGGGGACCTCCAAAGTAGCCAGAGTGGCTTGAGATTTTACTTTGTTTTATAATTGCAATTATAACGAAGATAGTAATAATTACACCTACTATTTGTTGAAATGGGTACTAATATCATTCCTACTTGACAAGTAAAGAAATAGAAGTTTAGTAAATTCATCCACTTGAGCAAAGTGGATTCTTAACCATAAAGTTATATCATCTTATATTTTCTTTTTTCTTCTTTACTTTTATTTCTTGCCTTGTTCTAAACAGAGGGTTTGAGGTAGAGATGTTATTTCAGTATACCAGTAGCAAGATATTGATTAAAGTAGTATTTTCCCCTGTCTACCCATCATAAACACTTATGAGAATATTATTAATAGCTTTAGATTATCATTACCAGATTATTGGGTCGAATAAGTTGTAGCAAGGAAAACAGAGGAGAAATGGTCAGAACCGTAGCTCTAGTCCTAGCTCTGTCACTTCTTTCCTCGTTGCCTGACCTTGGGAGAACCACGTGACCTATCTGAGCCTTAATTTTGTTATCTGTAAGATGGATGATCACATCTGTCCTGACCGCATTATGGATAATTGGAATATGTTATACACTCCAAAGTGCTACAGAGGTGTCAGTAGACTTATCACTATGTGTACGGTTCTAGATGCTGGGAAATCCCAGGAGGTCTTGCTCCCACCTTGAAAGGGTCAGCAGTTCCTGGTGGAGGACTGAACATGGCGCATATTCTAAGTTACATATGCTGAAGATTCAGCTCATCAGACAGTGTGAGCGTGGCATGGGAGTGTGGTTTCCCATGGTTGAATTGGCATTTTCTCAACTCATTGTCTGGGGGGTAGTGAGCCCTAGGATAGAAATGATGCTTTGTTTAACTGTATCCCCAGCACCTGGCACAGTGCAGTAGGTGTTCAGTAGGCATTAGTTAAATTAAACACACTAGACAAATGAAATCTGATCATAGATCCAGAGGTGAAAATTAACTTTCTTCCCAAACTCGTGAGTGAGGAGCCTGCTCATTCACTCCCACAGAAATATTAAACTTGGCAAATTAGCAGAGTTTTGAAGATTTGGGATTTTATTCCTGACCACTCTGTTGCTTTCTCTCTAATTTGGGCCAGCTCCATGCCAGAACAAGTCTGATACTTTAGCTTAAGCAAATATCAAAAATAAAGAAAGCAACTGTGACAACACAGTTTCTAATGAGTGTAACAGCAAGGCAGAAAAGAAAGCAGAGTAGCTTTAAGCTGTACAAGAAGAAGAAAGAGTGATTGTGAGAAATCCTGGGAAACTGTCAAACCCATGGCTTCTGTGAGAGCCAGAATTCTCCTTGCGAAAATAATGACAAGTGACACCCGAGCTGCCTTTTTACAGCTTTCTATACAAGAGGCATTTGTGCCGCTGAAACACAGGCCAGGCAGTGCAAGAGGAGGCAGGCTAGGAAGTCATGGATGGCCAACATGGAGGCGGAGTCCAGAGGCAAGAGGGCTGTGTGGCGCAGTTTACTGTAATGCTTCAAGGTGGGATTGTCTCAGTTCACAGTCTCCTGTGAAGGGGTTCATCTCTACCCCATACAGGCACTCTGGGGTTTGAAAACTTCACTCCATCCCCTAAGTACCCTGTGAATGGTCCAGGAAGCCTTTCAGATGAAGTGATCATGGAACAGTCCTTTGGAACTCCAGGACCAAACCAGCCTTTATCTAGATCATGTTCCCCTTCCAAACTGAGCTTGGGTTGGTCATTGGGTGTGGTGAGGTGGGAAGGGGTGGGGGAAAGGAGAGGTGGAAGGACTGGTCATGTCTGATAAATCATTTATGTCATGTTTGACATTTGGTTAGACTCCAGAAAATCCTACCCAGGATAGAGAGTTTAACAGACTCCAAATGTCACTATGTTCTCTCTTCCAAGGACATGCCCCATATTCAACAGCTCTGAGACACAGGAAAACTAGAAACAAAATGCAGGCAAGCAGAGAGAAAGCAAACACCTATTCTCTCCCTGGAATATAATGATTCTACAGCATTTTTAACCTACGGATAGCTCTCTATGTAGCACACCTTATATGCGTGCTACACGTATGAAGGAAATCTATACTCATATTTAGAGTCAAAGCTATCACTCAGCTTAAAATTATTTCAATAAATTCATTTAGTCAATGAACAAATATCAACAAGAGGATGATTTATACTTTCTTACTCATAGAGGGCCTAAAACACCTTCTCTTCCAACCTCTTCCAACCTATGAGATAGATTCTATTGTCCTCCCCCACTTTAAAGACGAAGGAACTGAGGCTTAGTGAGCCTAAGGAATGTGACTAGAGAATCAGAATTAGGAACTGTGGGCTTCAAGAGCACACTCTCCTAACAACTCTACAGCATGGCTGTTGAAGCCTGAGAAACTTGACTTACACGTTTTACAAATGTGGAAACTGAGACTCAGGAGTTGTCCAAGTTGAAAACCAGAATTCAAGGTACCGAGGTTCAAACGTATGTCTTTCTGATTCCTGAACTGATGCTCTTTCTACTGCATCACGCTGAATTACCAAGCTTCAGGGTAGAAATAAGGAGAGTTTTAACTTCTAAAGCTGCCCTCTAACAGCCAATATAATTTGAGTCGACATATGCAAATTAGGCACTACTGTTATGTAAATATCCTCTTCCGCCATTCCTAACAATTTCTTTCCCAGCTGGCTGTTGCCCTTGAGGAAATCCTGGTTAACAGCAGTGCCATAAATTGGATGTTTGTTTCTCATCTCCTCAAACTTCAAGTATTCACCAATGACTAAGGTGTGTGAGGGAGTTCTGAGGACAAACACTCCTTCCTAAGAAAGGCCTTAGTGGTCTTTTTTTCCAGACAGTCAGAAAAAAAACATCTGGCAGTTTCTTGCCCATCTCTCTTTCTAATAGCCTCAGAGCCATAGTCAACTGGCTGGTATGTGAAGTGTGAATGGCTTTTATCACAGGGAGACACGACCTTGGCAAACAAATTGGAAAGGCAGATAAAAAAAGACATACTTTCTCATTTCCACTGTTGGGCTCACTCAGAATAGTAGATTTTCATCCTGAAGCCTGAGTCCTTGGAAGTGGTAGCAGACATTAAGTCTGGGTCAATAACTCCCTATAGATATCAATAGAAGCTTTCTTTCAGTTGAGAAAGCTTTGCTCTATCACCATTGGGTGGTAGTCTCTTTTGTACACCATTACATGGAGAAGAGTCGATTGTGGGGAATAGAGGAGTATGAGTGAGATACAGTTCATGTAGCCACGTGTCTCCATCCCAGTAGAATATTATTAACATAGAACTAGGTTCCATCACAGAGGAGATAGTTTCTTTCCTCTCATCTCTGGCGTGATTACTGTGGTTGCCCACATGAGGGTTCTTATGGGTTGAATTGTGTCCCTCCAGAAAAAATATGTTGAAGTGCTAACTCCCAGTACCTCAGAATGTGACCCTATTCGGAAATAAGGTCATTAGAGATGTAATTAGTTAAGATGAGGCCATACTTGAGAAGGGTGGGCCCCAATCCAATATGACTGGTGTCCTTATAAGAAGATGGTCATGTGAAGACAGAGACACACAGGGAGAATGCCACGTGACAATAAAGGCAGATATTGGAATTAAGCAGCTGCAAACCAAAGAATGCAAAAAATGCCAGCAAACCACCAGAAGCTAGGAAGAGGCTAGAAAGGATTCCCCTACAGGTTTCAGAGGGAACATGGACCTACCCACAACCTGATTTTGGAAATCCTTGCCTCCAGAACTTTGAGACTACAAATTTCTGTTGTTTAAAGCCACTCAGTTTATGGTTCTTTGTTATGGTAGCCCTAGGAAACTAATGCAAGTGTTCCGTCAGAGGCAATGGGTTCAGCTCGGTGGTATTGTGTTTTCTTGAGGCTATCGCTCTTGTTTTAATGGCATACACCCCGTATAGACTATAGCCATGGTAGAAGTCTTGAAGTGTCAGCATCATAAAAGGAGGAGGGTTGTAGGGAGCTGGATCATCCCTGGGCTTCAACCAGAAATCTCCTTTCTCGTTCCTCACTCTCCTCGCCCTCCAAGGACCCCAGAAAAACAGAGTTCCACGTGAGATAGTCTCACTATTCATTTTACTAAATCCCTACATATCACAGTTGAGATTCTAAAACTGTCAATTCTAGGTTACCTACCAGGTGTGTTTACTCCTGTTTATAATGTTTAACCTTTGAGCTGTTGATAACCAGCTCTACAAGGGGGAAGGCAGTCCCATCCTAGCTTTTAAGATTGTTTTCTATGTGTATGTTAGTGATCATACCAGATATCATGAAAATTTTCAAAGAGGGAGAAGGAGGAGAGATTTATATTGTAGGAATGTGAACAACCTTAACTGAAATAGTAGGTGCCACCAAGGCATTTCACAGGTCTTACCTGTTACTAGTCACTTTGAGGTTCTGAAGCAACCTGAAAAAACCCTCCAGTTGACAAGAAGCAAGAACCCAAGAAGGGATGTAGAAGTGTATGGGGCTAATGCAAGCTTCAGACATCTGGAGATGGATATGCTTTCCCTCTTTTTCTTAGGTCAATGTTAATTCAAGTTGCAGGACCTACAGTAAGAGAGCAGAATGCTGCCCTGGGCTTCTCTTAATCTTTTTAAACTATAAGATGCTCACAGCAAGTATTTTTGTGTGTTGTTTGTTTTTTTGTTTGTTTTTCTGAGGAAGATTAGCCCTGAGCTAACATCTGTGCCAGTCTTCCTCCACTTTATATGTGGGTTGCTGCCACAGCATGGCTGACGAGTGGTGTACGTCCATGCCTGGGATTGGATCCTGCGAACTCAAGCTGCCAAAGTGGAGCGTGCCAAACTTAGCCACTACAGTGCAGGGTCAGCCCCCCGTTTTGTTTTGTTCTTACCGTTTCAGCTGGCTTTGATTTGAGTTCACATTTAGCAAGTTCAACTGCTGGGCCAGCTGGTTCCTCTAATCTGCAATATTTCTAACTCTAAATTGCCAACAATGTTTTTTGGAGTTTTCTGACTCTTCTTAGCTGTGAAGGAAAAACCTCAGTCCAGTCTACCTCCTGTGTCTTTCTCCTTTACCTTCACACAAAACACTTCCCTTCTGACACTTCTGGTCACCAAATGCGTGGAGGTTTTTT